AGCCAGGGTTGGGACATCTGGGAGGGTCAACTTGTCACTATGGTGGCATCTGACCTCCAGTGAAGATTTAAGGAAGTAAACTCCACCACTGGACAGCGAAGAATGGGTCGATAGACAGAAGTTTGGGAGGGGCAAAAGGGTTAAAAAATCAAAACCTTTATTGTGCGGTTGAGCACATGGTGGGAAAAATCCTTTGCTCCCAGTGCCATAATATTTTCTCTATTCAGTCTTCTGTTGTATTTTTGATAAGGTTTAATAAACCTTTCTAAATTTCTGAAGGTGAGTAGCATTTTCTCACAGTTGGCCTTTGCCTTTCAGGATGTCAGGGAAGGAGAAGGGCTGTGTGGGATGGGGACAGGCTGTGGAGGGTCCAGTTCCATCCAGCTCCACCAGAGATGTCACCTTCCCAACCACCAGTGTGAAATCCCCAGCCCTTTTCTGGAAAGACCAACAAGCCACTGGCCTCTTCTGACCAGTGCATTCATGGGTCAGGGCTGAGCAGAAGAAGCTGTGGAACATCAAAGTTCCTTGCCAGCCCTCGCTCCTGTGAGGGTGTTTGGTTTTGGGAGAGCTTCTGACAATCCTGATTAACAACCTTTTCATCTATTCATACTGGTGATAAGCCATGGGAGCTTTGGGCCTTTGCAGCCCTGTAATCAAGACTGAAAGAAACAATTTTCTCCTCCTGCAGCCTAGTTAATTCTCTTTTAATTGCTTCCCATTTTGCTTAGATTTCTTTTGTTTGCCATGGCACTGGCTCCACACTTCCTCCTCTCCAGCAGTGCTTGACTCATGCCTTGTTTTGCCAGGTTGGGATTTGTGATGATTTGGTCTTTGCCAGGGCCTTCAAAGCTCCCCACACAATTTAGATGTACCATGCCCGAGTTGTAACTTCTATAGGAGAAGATCTCTGGGGACTGAGCTAGGTTTTGTTCCTTGCAATCACATTCTGTGTGGGGGCACTGCTTTTGGAAAAATAAATGGAAAAACATGGGAATTACACACAGGTGGGAAACTTAGTGGCAGTAAATGTATCTTCTTTGGAAAAAACCAAACCCAACCAAGCAGAATTAATTATTTAGGACTAGAAATTTTACCCTGGGGGTCAAAAGAGATGAATGGAGCCTTTGTAAGCTGATCTGAACTAAGATATGTGGGGGTTATCTACCTTTTAAGGTTGGGTTTGTGTGCAAGGGCTAACAGCAAGGAGAAAAGGAGTTAGAACCCTCCTGACCAAAGAAACAAGGAACTTGATGAAAGTTTTGATAAGGAGCTGGGGACCAGCATACAGGTGGACTCAGTTGTGTTGGGAGCCCCTGATCCTGGGTGGAAGCAGTGGGACTGCTTCAGAAGTGGGTGAGATGCACTTTGATCCAGTTTGTGATTTATGTGTCAAACTTCAATTCTGGCAGTGGAAAGACTTTCCCCCTTTTCCTGGTACTCCAGGCCCTTGTCCAAAGACCCTCTCCAGCTCTTTTGGAGCTCCTGTGGGCACTTGAAGGATCTCTAAGGTCTCCCTGGAGCCTTGTCCAGCTGAACAACCCCAGCTCTTCTTGCGTGTCTCCAGAGTAGAGGAGCATCTCTATGTCCTCCTCTGGAATCACTGCAGAAGGTTCCATGTCCTTTCTTTCTTGGGGTGTCTAGAGCTGGACACAGCACTCCCTGCATGGAAAGCACTCCCTCCATGCAAATGGGATAGGACATTCCCCAGAGGAAAAAAAAAGTCTACTTTATGTGCTTGTTTATTATTATTCAATGTGCAGCATCTAAACACACCTTAACCACATCGATGCATTAAAATATAGCTCCCTTTAGCCATCCAAATAATTTTAATCAGAAACATAAGCATTTATATTACTGTGGCTTGGGTTACTGATGGAGTGTCACTCAAACTCCAATCAGGATGTAATTATTCTTGCCTATAGTCCAAGGTTTTTCCTTCATCCTATTTTCCTTTTGAACTAGCTAGCAGAGTCACACTGCCTTTTCCTGACATGTACTAAGATCCTCCTTCTGTGATTGTGTGTTTCATTCTTAGGCTGCAATTTCCCCTGTTTGTGTTTCTCCAGGTCTCTGGCTCCTGCTGTGCCAATGATTGTTTCTCTGCTATTGGGATTGCTGGAAGTGCTTAACCCAGGGCTACCCTTTTTGCCCCATATTTCACATCCCCACAGGATTCTTCAGAGCCACCAGCTCCTTGGGACTCTCCAGCCATCACACTGCAGGAAGAGACTTATCCACCCTCCAAGACCTCACCTGGCATGCCCAGAGCTGCAAGAACAGGTCTGGAGACCCTGGTTGCAATATCACTGGATTATCTGCTCTTGCAAAGGCTGGTTTCATCCCCAAAAAAGCTGACATCCTTCTGGAAGAAGAGAGATGTTATTAGTCCCCGGCAGTCAGAAAAGATCCTTTGAGACTGAGCCAGGGGCTCTGACACCTCGTGTTTGGAGGTCAGCCACACTCAGCACACAAATCTTAAAGACTTTTTGCTGGCTGGGCTTTGACAGCTATGTCACCAACACCGTGTGCTGAGAAGGGCGGGCAGGGACAGGTCCTTGGTGAATTGCCTCTATGAAAAATGGGGAGGCAGAAAATGAAGCAGCTAAGGTCCAGGAGAGGATATGGACATCTGGATCTCAAGCATCTGCATTGGGCCCACTGGGTACTGGCCCTGTGGGCACAGTGTTGAGTGAGGGAAGTTGTGACCCTTCTTCTGCTGCACCCAAAATTAGGGTCTGGCAGGGCACCTGGATACATCAGCCAGCTGTCAGGAAGTGGAAGCTCAGAACAGACAGCAATCATGTTTGGTGGGGTTGGCTGGGTAAGGGTGGGTTGCTGGGGACATTTCCTTGGGGCAGAAGGAGGCTCTAGGCTGCTGAGGAGGGTCCCAAGCCTGCTTCACACTGGTGTCTCCTGAAACAGGTCTCAGACCTGGACAGAGGATGCTCTGGGGCTAGAGGATGCTCTACAGCAGGGGTGTCTGTCAGGATGGTGCTCAGCCAGCAGAGTCCAGTATTTCCCAAAATCCATAGCAAATCTGTGCCTCAGTTTCCACACTAGCAGGAGGCTCAGCAACAGATTTCAGCAGCCTAAAAATAACTTTCCCATGGAAAATTTTGCCTGACAGGGAGGAGGGGAGGGCCAGGGATCTCAGCCATGGTGCTTGCAGAGGCTCTCCTGGGAGCAGGTGGTTAGGGACTGAAACCTTTTCCAAGCAACCCTGGAAAACCTGGACAGTCCTTGGTGTCCTCTGGATGAGGGTGCCTTCTGGGAGGATGGACTCAGCTGTGGGTGAGCCCACGAATTCCTGGTTGTGGGGTTAACCCATCCCTGCTCTGTGCAGGTGTCAATTCAGCAGGCTGTGTGATCACACACCTCTGCTGCCTTCAGTACGGCCCAGCGGCTTCTCAAGCATCCTTCTCTCCATGGCTGAGCACGTGAGCCTCTCCCATGGAATCACTTGTGTCTCTGATCTTTAGTTTTCCTCCAAATTGGAAAAATATGTCCCTTTGAAATTTTCATGAGGGTGGCAGAGCTGTCTGTCTCCTACCACCATCATGTGTGTCTGAGAGCCATTTAACTGCAACTATGGTGACAAATATCAGCGTGAGGCTCATGCTGGAGAGAGCAGTGAAGGAGGGGGCATTGAAATGAAAGGATTAAATATTTACTTTGGAGTTTAGCGTGTTCAAAGGACAACACATCACAGATGAGAGGCATCTTGGGGTGGACAGTGATGAAAGCCACAACTGAACCCACTGGGCTGTAAAACTGCCACAAGATTTCCTGTCCCTCCCAAGCTCCCCCCCCTTACCTGCCTGGTAAGGTACAGCAGAGCAGGGTTCAACATCCAGGAATGGCCCAAAGCTGTGGGCCACCAGACAGATATGTGTTGTTTGAGGAAGGGGAATGACAGCTCCACTTTGCTTTAAATACCAGCCATAAACCCTGTGATTTATGTCCCATGTAACTGGGAGGTCCTGGCTCTGGCAGTGGGGATATTTGCAAAGGGCAGCCTAGTTGGAAGGTGGAATGAAGGCACAGATCCTCCATAGGATGAAGAAGCTTCATGAGCTTCTCTCTGCCTCCATTCAGGCTCCGGAAGGTAGGTTTTCTCCATTGCTGGACCTTTGTTTGCTGGGGATATATATCAGGGCACCCAAACTTTGACCCCGTGTGGTGGGGCTGAGGGTGGGAAGTGACTCCAGGACTGGCAGCAACCTTCATGGTGGGTTTAATGTATCAACCAAATAAACAAGCTAACTAAAAATCCATCTCAGTGTGCTGTAGAAGCTCCTGTGTATCATCCCACTGGGATATTCCATAGCACCACCAGATCCCATCCTTGGACTCCCATTTTGCTTTTCCCAGCCCTGAAAGGTACCAGGATAATGTAAAGGGTTAACACAGGAAGATCCCAAGAGGCTTCAGCCTTGTCAAGAGCATTAATCTCAGAGTTACTTGATAAGTTTAAATACAATCACATAATCAGCAGGAACCCATAATTATTATTTATGTGCATGGTGCTTACTAAATTACAGTGCTTTCCAAGGCTCTGTGTGATGAACAAATTAATTCTGCATGAGAAGAGCTTGACCAGAAATCTGTTTATGTCTGAATTTCACTAGTAAACATTGATGTATGAAATTAAAGTCGAGTTTAATTGGTCCTCCCTCCTGCTATGAAGCACATTACATTTTTATTCTGTATTAGCTCACCTGGCAAGGGGGAAAACCTGGAGGACTTTCTCCATCCCTGGTGGTACTTGTCTGGAAAACCTGTGTGGAATTCTCTTGGATGAGATGGTGTAGATACCTTTGTGGAGAGCCACCTCCATGCTCTGGGCACATGGAGTTGGGGTAGAAAGGAGACTAAAAGGCTTCTGGACCAGTGGGATGCTGAGCCCACTGCAGTGTGAGGATGATCCCATGGAAACTGGGGAGGGGCCATGCCAGGGTTGTCTTTTCCAAAAGATAAACATGCTCCAAAAGTCCTTGTAAGAGGAATTAAAGTATTTTTAATCAAACAAGACTGAGAATACACACTCCAGCTATGGAAATCAAAGTCACATCAGTTGGAGCAGACCACCAAGAAGAGAAAGAAAAACAGTGATATGAACACAGATGCTTCTGTTTGGGTTTCTTTCTTTGGTTTTTCAATTTCCAGCTTCTTTCCACCAAAAGACCTCACTTTAGAAAAGTCAAAATTGAACATGTAGCATGTCATTTTTTGGCAACATCACTTGCAGGGATGAGGAAAAGAAGCTCTCTGGGACATTTCCCCTTCTCCATTGCCAGCAGATCATTATTAGCTCCTGCCAAAGTACCCAACAGAGAAACCATGACACAGAAGATGCAAATCTACTCCTTGTAGAGTACTAGCAGAAAGTGTCCATAGAGCTGGCAGCTGCCCCTTTTCCCATTGCATAACTCATGGGGTCTTTTTCACAGCCATATTTTGAAGAAGGGGCAGGTTTTGGTACTGTTTGCAGTGGCTGAACTTGAACAAAGACTGAAACGTGCCCTATGTGCAGGGTATGGTCCCTGTTGTGGTCACTGTGTCATACTGGGAACTGTTGCTATTCCTAGCAGATTATTGGAGTCAATGGGATGTCTCCAGTTTTGCTGCACTGTAGACTTGCAGGTAGAAAATCAAATGGGAGGGAAGTGGGAGGAATTTGCTCCAAACTACTGAAATTCACAAATGAAGAAAGAACCCAGAGTTTTTTTTTCTTATGCTTCTCTTTAAATAAAAAGATGCAAGATTTTATTCCTGTCTGGTGGTATATCCTGAGGAAATCACAAAATACTGCAATTTCAAAGATGCTTAAATCTCCCCAGGGCAGGAAACATTTATGCCTGTTCTTTATAGCCAGAAAACTGAGGCACAGAAATGTGAAGGGGCTCACACCACACCCTGTATGGCCCCAGTGGCAAAATCCCTGGGATGCAGAGGGCAGACAGCCCATAAACCTGCTGTAATCTGTCTCCTGCCTGCGTCCCCAGACCTTGTATGGGACAAGGAAAAGGTGGCTCCAAAGAGGTCAAGGCAAATCCACTTCTCTGCTCAGCTGCTTTTGGTGACCACATGGAAGAGGGCAATGAGCGAGGGGGAACTGGGGACAATCTGGAGTCCTGAGAATGGGGAGGGAGATGGGAAGGGAGGGAAGAGAGGGAAGGGAGGGAAGGGAGGAAAGGAGGCTGCTGCTCCTCCAAGGCACTTAACCCCAACATGGGGATGGTTTAGTCCCATCCCCTGCACAAGAGCAAGGAGCAGCTTTGACACTGGGCCCATCTACCCAGGTAAAACAGGGCAAGGAGGAGAGGGCAGAGCCAGGGCCTGTACCTGCCTTTGGGTGTAGCGATATCTGCCCCAGGACGGTTTGGGTGAATTGAGGCGAGAGATCTCTGAAGGCTGCTCTTGGAGGATCAGGTTTATTGGGGATGCAGAAAGGTTCTGCCTCAAGCTGCCAGACGCAGCACGTGGCGAGGCTTAAGGAGATGGGGGAGGGGAGAGACAAAAAGATGCTCAAGGAGAGGGGGAGTTCTAAGAGGAGGGGAAGTTCCAAGAGAGGGGAGGAAGTTCCAAGAGAGGGGAAGAAGATCCAAGAGAGGGGAAGAAGATCCAAGAGGCTGTCCGGCCCCTCAGAGTCCCCTTTTCAAGGAGCTTCAAGGTGGGCTGGAACAAGGCTCGGGCCAATGGGGTTACAGGCACTTGATGTTTTAGGGGAGGGGTGTGGGGTGAACCATACATTTTGGGGGGTGAGATGGAACAGTCCACTTGACCCCTGGACCCATCTGTAGGCAGGGGCGTTGTCCAGCTAGCTGGGACGACTGTTTTATCTTGGCTATATTATTTATGAATAATTATATTTATCCATCCTCTGCAACATCTGGGGACCTCAGCCACCGCTCCACTGCAGGGCTTCCTCTCCTTTCCACCATCTGAGCAGGGACATGGAGTCAGCATGAGGTCCAGAGCTTTGCAGAGACCTGTGGGTCCATCTGGGATGAACCAGAGAATTTAACTAATTCCTGTGCTTCCCTCCAGATAAGCCAACTCTGTGTGGCTGTTCAGAGCCCCTAGGATCCATCCCCATGGGAGAAGGAGTTACCTCCCCTCTCCCACCCCACTGCTTTACCCCACCTTTGGTGTCAAGATGAGAAATGATCTAGTCAGACCAAGCAGCAGTTACAGGACACCAGGAGACACAGCAAGAGACAGGGGAAGGACTCAGCCCCAGTGCTGCAAAAACACAGCCACATGAAGCAATGTCTACAGTCATTCCAAGGCTCTCTATCCATCCCCTTCCAACACACAGGACTTTGACTCCTCTAGAGGGTTCCCCTGCCACCAGCAACATTCCAGCATGTGCTCACTGGAAGGCTGACCCAGCTTCCCAGGGAATTAGCCCCATAAGCTGTCCCAGCAATAACCTGGTTTCCTGTCACCTCAAAGCAGACAAACCTGATAAATCATGCCCAAACCTTGAGACATCATGCCCAGGATGGAGCTGGCAGAAAGACCCTGCAACCTCTCCAGGTCCTTCTGGCTCTTTCTGCCATGCCAGTAGGTCACACAGCTGCCAGGGAGATGACAAAGCAGCATCTCAGCTGTCCTGTCTTTCAGGCCTGCCCAGCACATGGAGCAGGAGCTGTGCAGGTGTCCCATGACCGAGTGGGTTCATACTCTCCTTGCGGGGCTGGGGCTGCCAGCAGGACCTGGTCTTGTGCCGTGCCCCCCTCCCAGGGGTTCCCCACGTCCCAGTGGAGACGTCGGCTCCTGGTGTGGCCTCTGGCTCCCGGCTCAGACAGCCGTGGATTGCTTGATGCTGTGGAAGCTGACGCGGGTCGGGGAGGTGGGGATGGACATGGCCCTTGCCACGCGGGCACGGATGGAGTGCTTGTCCTGCCAGCGGTGCCACCGCTTCCGCACGGCCGATCGCACCTGGGCGAAATGAATGAGGGACATTTGGTTATCACACAGAGGCTGTTCAGAGGCACCAGCCATCCTTCTCCTCAGTCCTCCAGCCAGAAATGGATTAATGATATGTGATTTGCTAACAAAGCGGTTCATGAAGGGTAAACTTTCCTGAGTCAGCAAAGGTGTGAGAGCATTTGGAGGAGAGAGAGGAAAGAGCCCTATGGCCAAATATCTGGACCCAGGATTCACTTCTACTTTCAGCTCCTTTGCTTTCTGCTGTTTGTGTTTTGGGTCAGAGCCTGGGAGAGATCCTCATCCATGTGTAATCCACATGTGTATGGAGCTCACCCTGGAGAGGGATTTCTCTGGGATGGGGAGGACCCTTGGCTCTGCTGCACCAAATCACACAGGTGCACCATGAGAGCATCTGTTCTTGGGGGTGGATTTTCCTCCTCCAGAGGAGGAGACAGACAGCAGCCATTCCTTTATCAGCAAATTCTGGGGCTGAAGATGTAGCTAGGGCTGGAGGTGAAGCACTGACTCTGATCACCGAAGACCTTCAGGTGGAGAATTAGGGACCAACACTCTCCAAGCCCTGTGCAGCAGTAGAGCCTTTTGCTGAACTTGTCTGCTTGCAAGGAAGGGTCTAGGCCCCCACGAAAAACCCCAGCCCACTCTGCTCACCTCACTGTTCAGGAAGCAGTAGAAGACAGAGACGAAGAAGCCCTGGAAGGAGACAAGCAGCAGAATCACAGCCAACAGGTACCCCTGAGCCAGGAGCTTTGGAACAGTTCTGGGGTTTGGGGATGTCTGGTTTTGGGAGGGGGCAGAAGTGGGATGAGGCATCAGCCAGGATGGGCTCCTCCACATCCCTTGGTGAGAGGACTGGGATGGAAGACAGTGTGGAGGACCATTACCTGGAAAGACTCCAGAAAGGAGTTGAAGTAGATGAAGACTATCCTGGAGATCTCATCCTCCCCGGGGTTGACAAAGAACAGCATGTAGGTGATCCCCAGCAAGGGCAGCAGCACCAGTGTAGCTTTGACTGCTTTCCTAGGGAGAAAATAGGGACCTGAGCTGCTACAGTGCAGCCCTGGGCACAAGGACTCTGCCCATCCCACTTCCAGCACCAGCATGGCTTGGACTGGTCTGCTGGGACTTGACAACCAGTGGCTAGGGGAGGTGGAGCCAAGTTGGGCTGTTTTCCAGTGCAGTTCCCAAGGGACTGGGATGGTTTGAGCACTGGGCCCCTGCTCTGCTTCTTCAGCCAGAAAAGGGCAGTGGAGAGCAGAGGTCTGACCTTGAGCTGGCATGGAATGATTGCTTGGCTGATCTACAGCGCAATTAAAAAGGAATTAAGGAGGGTATAATAATTCACACCCTTCAACGTGAGTTTGTGGAAACCTAACTTCAGGTAATTAATTTGATATCTTGATGGGATTAAAAGTACAGTTTGTGAAAGGTCATAGTGCTGATACAGAGAGTGTGAGAAGGATAGGGGCTTGGCATCTTATTCCTTTGGATCAGGGGACAAGAACAATGCCAATTCATTACTTTTTGCTTAAAAATCCTGTTAATGGACAGATTCCAACAGATGGTCATCCCTGGAGGGTCTGAGCTGGGCAGAGAGGGGGTCTGGGACCTGTTTTGCATCTCTGATTTAGAGGAAAGAATAATAATCCCTGACACAAATGGGCTGATGCCATGGAGGAGCTGGAAGGAACCAAGTACAGGAGTTGGAAAACTACAGTACAGCACATTCACTGGTGTAGCTTTCCCAAGAATAGAACCAGAATTTTTCCTTTCTCAGCTGAAAAAGCCACCTTCCACCTCAAACCAGCTTCTCTTGACCTGGCACACAGCAAGATTCCCCAATTCCTGCCCACAAAATGATCCAGACAGAGGCAGTGATGACACCCAAAGTGTCTTCTTTTCCAGGTACTCTAGGGAGCTGCTCTAACCATGCACCTCTTATGTTGTCTGCAAAATACTCCCCAACAGGCAAAGAGGGGTTAAATCTTCCTGCCTTGTGTTGTGGGAGTACTGTCTTCTTCTTTACAAGGAGGTGTTGTAGTGGCATCGATTCATCAGCTTCCTCAGCTTTTGCTTTTCTGTCAAGCAGTGATTTAATTCTCACCTCTATGCCAGGATTTACAGCTCCCAGCCTGGAGAGCTCATCAGGTCCCACCAGAACAGGCTTTTGCAAAGAGACTCAAATCCCAAGGGTTCACTTCAAAGGCAGAAATAGACATCCACACTCTACATCACAAGGCTCTCCCTGGCCAGATTTAATGATCATGTGCCTCCAAAGAGCATTTGAGGTGCTCTTAGGTGTCTGTCCATGCTCCCATCCCCTTGCTACCTGGCTAATGGGGCTGTTCCCATCCCCACTAATCATGAGAGAACCCAGTTCCTAGGTTGGCTTCCAGCAGGGTCACTCTTACCTGTACTGGATTGTCTCTGACGTGGTTGAAGCTCGGAGCTTCGTCATGAGGATTCGGACAATGTTGAATAGAAAGATGAAGTTGATCTGGGAGGAACATATGGTTAGTGTCTGCTCCCTCAGTATTTCCTCCCATTTCTTTTACAATGGGTGGGAAGGGGGAGCCAGGGGAAATGGGGATGTTTCCTCTTGAACCTGATCTATTGCCTTCCGTGCACCATGAGAGGATGTCTGCCTTTTGTAAAAACACTTGAACAATAAGATTTAGGAGTTTGGTCATGGGATCGGGGCAGCAGGGCATGCCAAAAGATTGCCAAGAAAGGACAAGTGCTAGAGGAATGGTTGGAGGTGAAAAAGCAAAGGGAGAGGAAGAATCTAAGGCTGTCATCACATCCAGTGTCTGCCTGGTCGCTCTCTTGGCTGCCAAATCGCTACTGAGGGAATGGGAAGGAGTCATTGGAGGTGAACACAATTGGCAGGAATTAGTAGTGGCCTGGCTACCTGATGGGGAAATGGGAAGCAGGATCAATTATTCCATCATGCTGGTGATTTTTACTCCCTTGAGTTTTCTCAGCATTGGGCAAGGATGAAGGAATAGTTTTGGAACTTTGGCTTTCCCCCTGCAAACACAGGGTTGGACCCCCAGCTTTTGACCTGCCACCTCTGCTCTTCTTTGTCCCTCCCCAAAAGGCAAAGCCCCATCCACATGACCCTTGGATCAAGCACACCTACTCAGCTGGGGACCAGGAACAGAGAGGTGCAATCAGGATCAGGGAATGGAGTCAAGGATCCCAGGCTTCTTCAAATGCTTGGCAAAGCATCCACCCACACCCAAACAGTTCCACGGCAGGGATGGAGGGACCTACTGATGCATGTTGGAGTCTGCTGATGGGACACCCCTGTCAGAGTGAGGTTTCCAGGCTCCTTGGCACCCCAAGCCCAAAATTGCTCAAGGGGCAGTCTGGGTGAGGGCCAGTGCTGCTGTGGGGCAGCAGAACCAGCCCCAGAAGAGTGAAGCTAAAGGAGGGGGAAATACCCTGTACAGGAGCAGCTGTGTCCCACCTGCACACAGAAGGACTATTTAGCATGCAAAAGGTCACTTTGCTCTTACCAGAAGCACCAGGATCATGGGGCCTTGGTAAATGTAGTCAGTATAAACACCTGCTCGCTTCCCAAACCAGCATCTGCAAGTCAAGGACAGTGGTGTCAGGGACAAGCCTGACATGGGAATAACTTGAATAGACTCCTGTCCTTGTACAGTCTCTGTAAGTCACTGTCTGTGAGGTGAAAGCACTAAAACTCAAACTGCTGCAGCCATTGTGAAATAGCTTCCCTGGGAACTCAGTAAAAGGAGGTGCGTGTGGGCTTGTAGGAGTGTTTATGGGTGCCATATAGATGTGGGAGCTGGTTATTGCAGGACAAGCAGGGACACCCTCCTCACAAAGGAGGGACTGTCCCCACTCTGTTCTGCATGGGGGCAGCCTCACCTCGTACCCTGTGGGCAGTTTTGGCACAACAATGTAAAAAAGATCTGAAGCCATTAGAGAGCATCCAAAGGAGGGACATGAAGATAGGGAGCAGTCTGGAGGGGCCACATGAGAAGCAACTGAGGATATTTGTAATTTTTAGCTGTGGCAGAGGTGACTGAGTTTAGACTTCATCAGGGGCTGCAGCTCCTCCGCAGGGGCAGCCCCCATCTCTGCTCCCTGTGACAGGGGCAAGACCCAAGGAAATGGCCTGAGGTTGTGTCACAGGGGAATTTGGGATGGATATGATGAAAAGTTCTCCCCCCAGAGGGTTCTTGGGCACTGAACAGTCTCCCCAAGAAATGGTTACAGCCCTGAGGTTACCAGAGCTCCAGGAGCTTCTGGGTAATGCTCTCAGGGATGCACAGGGTGGGATTGTTGGGGTGTCTGTGCAGAGCCAGGAGTTGGACTGGATGTTCCGTGTGGGTTCCTTCCAGCTCAGGTTATTCCATGATTCTCCATAACCTCACACACAAGTCCAGGTCAGCTCTGTCCTCAGCAAACCCTGCAGGAACTCACTCAGGTGCATCCCTGTCCTGGGAGCACCTTGTCAGGGTTGTTCAATCAGTGCCTGTGTGAGTAGCACAGTACTTCTGTAGCCAGGAGGGAAAACTACCTCTGGAAAACAGAACAAGCTGCCATTCATCTCAATGGGCTCCTTTCAACTTCCCACTCTGGGATGAACTCTCAGGTACCTGTTAAGACCTTCATCAGCAGGTACCTGTGAAAATGGCTCAGGTGAGGGTAATTTAGATCTCTGCTGGTTAAATCCCAGCTCCCTTTAGTAAACCTATTGTAGGAAATCTGGTTTAATCTCTTTTCCCCCTTAAAAATCACATTTGCCTTTTGAGGAGAAACAAGCAGGACAGGGCTTGTGCTGCAGAGAGCTGAGATGTGGGATAAAAGAAAGAATGGAAAAATATTATCCTTTTTTTCTTCCCTGACAGAATTCCTGACACAACTGATCCCTGAGGATTTGGGACAGAAAGAAGAATAGAGGGTAAGAGCAATCATGCTCACTTCTCATTGTCGTAGTAGAGCTTCCCAATGGCCCAGGCAACGATGATGGGAAAGGGGATACCTGCAGGGGAACACACAGGTGAGTCTCAGAAGTGCAAGGCTGCCACAAAACCACACCGTAACAGAGGATTTCTCACACACAAACCACCCAGTGAGATGAGGTGTCCATGCAAATCCCATCCTCCTGCTCCTTTTTGCAGCTCTTTGTGTGCAAGAAGAACTGGAGCAGAGGCTGGAGGGGGCATCACCCATCACTAAACCCTGGGTACTGCTAGGTGAGGGGAAACCTGGCACTCACACCAGCCGATGCAGATGAACATCCATTTGCGGAGCTTGTCCGTGGAGTATGTGAGCACGATGGCTGTGTGCAGGTAGCAACCCTCACCAAACATCCAGAAAAAGTTGGTGACATGGAAGTAATTGTAGGCAGCAGTGACCAAGCGGCACCAAACCTGTCAGGAGATGTGGAGCCTGTCGAGCTCTGTCACAGTGGTGCAAGCAATGCACGGAGCAGCACAGAGCCCGGCAGAGCAAGCAAATCCGTGTTTCTCATACAGACAACCAGCCACCAGCCAGCCCTATTTGTTCTCTGAAGTTGCTTTTGTAGCCACATCCTAGTGACTTCGAACTGAAAGAGAGTAGGTTTAGGGAAAACATTCTTCCCTGGCAAGGTGGTGAAGCCCTGGAACAGGTTGCCCAGAGCTGTGGCTGCTCCATGCCTGGAGTGTCCAAGGCCAGGTTGGATGGGGCTTGGAGCAACCTGGGATAGTGAAGACATCCCATGGAAGGGGGGTTGGAACTAAATGATCCTTAAGGTCCCTTCAGACCCAAACTACTTTGCGTTTCTGTGATCCTCAGGGTCCTCACACCCCCCAGCTGCTCAGGACTGGGCTCAGCCTGGAAGAGGTGCACCTACCACATTGCTCTCGTGCACCTCTGGGTTCATGGTGAGCTGGACCACGAACCATGTGGCATTGCGTAGGATGAAGGCTGTGATCAGGTTCCAGTGGATGATGTTTCTCAGGCACCGGATGCTCCTGGAGAGGGGTGGAACAAGGCACCATCAGAGGAGGGGGACTGGGCACAGTGCTGTGTGTAGAGCTGAGTGTCTCTGTTGGGACCACAAGGGTGACCTGCTTGGACCATGCCCTGGGTGAGGTGGGCACCAACAAGGTGGAAGGCACCAAGGAGGACCCTCTGCCTCCATAACTAGGTGCTTTAAAAAAGCAGCAAAAGAAAGACAACCCTGAGATAGGCAGGATCCCTCCAGCCTGGAGGGCAGTGGCTGTGGCAGAGTAGATGGCAAAGCACAGGAGCTGGATCCATCCCTGCCTGAGATGACCTTGCAGGAACACGGCAGCAGGTTTGTCACTCACCGCAGGCGCATGAAGAGGACAAAGGCCACGAGGAGGGCCCCCAGCGAAACACAGTGGCCCAGGTAGTTGATGATGACAGCGATGTGGTAATGCAGCTTGCTCTTCTTCTGGGAGTAGGGGAGATGGGCAGAGAGTCAACAGCAGCCCTGGTACTAACCCAAACCCACCTCCTCCACCACATCACCTTTGGCAGCTGCACTTCAAATTCTGGGCCCCTTTTCAGGAAGCCATTTGAGCTCACCCTGGGACAGGACAGTGGGAATGGAAGGAGATGGGGATAATGTGGGAAGGAGAGGCACCAGCCTGGTTTCACATCTCACTTGTACCAGAGCAGCTCACAGCTGGGACATCCTAAATGCTTTTCTGGGGAAACCCTGCTGGAACTCAGTTGAGCTCACTAGAATCTTATATTTCAGTTCATTTCCCATTGCCCTGGGGGCAACTGAGAGGCTAGAATGAATTTGGGCAGAGGAAAGTGTGAAAGATAATTGAATTAATTGATCACTCCTGCTGTTAGGCACTCATCTAATCGGTAAATAAGCAATTAAGTGAGTGAAAAAAACATTCCTGGCAAGAGATATCAGCATCTTAAATACCAGAGTTGATATCAACCACAAATTAAAAACTCGTATCACTTCTCCTCTGCTTCAAGGGGTGGCTTGACTTACTCGGGGACTTGATCCCCATTCTTTTATCTCTTTCAGCTTCCTAAATATATTTTTTATTTCACTGCCATCAGGGAAGGACAGGGTTTTCATTGAGTGCTGTGTGAGAAGGGAGCTGTAAGAAAGTGACAGGGCTGATATGTACCCAGAGGCCCTGGGGACCTCACCTTGGCAATCCTCTTGGATTTTTAATGGGGATGGAAATAGGCATGGCTTTATTTCTGATGGGGAATAAAAATACAGATCAAGAAGGAGTCATAATTGCCATGTGCAACTTTATCACTGGAATGCTCCTGCATGCTCAGCCCTCAGCTGCCATGGGCCATTCCTGGCCTGGATGCTGTTGCCTTTCAAAACTCCATCATCTGTCTCTCGGCCTCCTGCCAGGAGCGTAGGGACTCTCAAGCTCCTACCTCTTCACTGAGGATCTCCTGGCACTGGGAGTAGTTGACACGTGCTGCCCAGCTCCCGTTCGCGAGGCATTCTCTGTACCCATTATCTGAAAGAGAGAATGCCCATCCAAGAGTTAACAGAGCATGACGATAAGCACAAGCATGTGACCTAATGTCACTAATCAGGCCATGTCTGGCATCAGGCCAGGCCTGGCATCTTCTGCTTTGAAGGCAGCTCAGTTACTGCCTTGGTCAAAACTGCAGAACCAAAATCCTATTGGAATATTGGAATATTTCAGACCCACTCAAGAATTTTGGGTCTTCAACAGCTCTGCCCTTGGCACTGGGGGACACCAACACCTCCTCACCACCCACAGGGATGCAGCAGAAGCAGCACCAGTTGACTCTTCTTCCCTTTCATTCTGCTGTTTGCTTGGGTGATCATGTGCTAGCCCAGGCTCTCTGCTGAGACTGCAGCATGAAGTTTCACTTCGCTCTCTGAATTAGGAGCTTTTTTGCCTCCCAGCAAGGACAGTAGGTGTCAAGATTGATTGGGGAGGAATGGCCCAGGCACCCCAGAGAGTCTTGTCATTGGTGTCAGCAGTGGGGCAATGCCAGCACTGGGGTGAGACTGGGCTTCCATTAACAGGAAGCTGTGAGCCTCGTCAGAGTGATGGGGTGGGAAAGGGCTCAGAGACAGGCTCAAGTTGTGATTAATGCAGAGAGCACCACAAAGCAGGAGCTGTGTGTCTGTGCCATCCTCCATGGCTGCAAGAATGTGCAGGATGGAAAAATCTATGTTTTTTTTTTTTGTGAGAAGCAAGGTATTTCTTTCATCAAAAGTAGCACTTGGGTGGTCAGAAACACAACCTTATGTTAGCAATGAGTTTGGGAACTTTTCATATTGCTACATCCTCTACTGCCAGCATGTCACTGGCAGGGACAGTGCAACCACCTGTGCCAGGAGAGGACAACATCCAAAGTCCCCCAGTCTTTGCTCAGCTGGGGTCTTCAGACCCCTGTACCACCTCCAAGGGCAGGGCAGGATTACTCCTCTGCCTGTGTCCCCAAGATGGGGACATCAGCCCTCTCCTCCTCCCAGGAGGACCTGCTTATAAAGCTGCTTCTCTGAAACGACCCTCCCTGAAATCTGGGGCCTTTATGGTTGATGAGCTTTGTTCCCAGAGGTGTATTGTCCCTTGTGTCCCAGAACCCTTGCCCGCTGTGTCCCCAGCAGTGCTGCCCCTCTTACTGGTGGTGTTGTACCGCACACCATAGAAGTACTCGGGGCAGGGCCGAGCCACCAGCTGCCCCACTGCGCTCCGGGGCCAGCATGTGCCGATCAGGTCCACCGAGGCGTTGCACTGGGGACCTGCAAGGACAAAGTGCACAGGGTTAGCAGAGGTGTGTGGGCCACCATGGGCCACTTCCAGGCTGTTGGAAGGTCAGGATTTGTGTGGAGAGCTGGGGCTGCTGCACCAGCTGATGGGTCACCACAAGCTCAGCCCCCAGAAAACCCTCGTGGCAGACACAAAATGGGGGCTGTGAAAGACTTGCAAGGGCTGCTTGAATCATCACGGCCATGACTTGTAGCAGTGGGAACAAAGCAACACAGACCCCTTTATGCATCCAAATGAGATTGCCTTATTGTAAAATCGGCCCCTTTTTATACCTTTAATTTCAACCTGACATAACTGAAACCAAACTGAGACCTAACAGAATTTAACAGAAAGAAGGCACCCACTGGCTGGCTCAGCTACCATGCTTCTGTCCATGCATCCTACCATCCAATCAGCCTCCTGCTCATACACTGTCCACGGGTGTTGCATTGTGTTATGGAGTTTGTTCAGTTGGTTAAGCGGTTTAATTCCGCACCCCCATGTAAGTGGTCCTGCCCTCCCTTGCCAATCCTCCTTTCCCTCCTCCCCTGAAATGTAGCCCTTCTGAGGACCCGCCCTGAGCCCGTCCATCACTCGGCAGCCCTTCCTTTCTTTCTGAAAGGTTCCATGCGGGACGTCGAGAGATAGGCCAGACATTCAGGTCTCCTCCTACCCTCTTTCCCCATTGGTGTTCCCTCATGTATGTTACCCTGATTTCCACAATCCTGTTTGGTCTCATTGGCTCACGTAGGGCCATCCCCTGGTTACCACTCACTGTTAAAAGCCTGTGTGAGAGGCTGCACGCTGCTCTTGTAGACTGTTTACCCTTCAACCCAGGTAGCTCTTCTGAGCTGCCAAATAAAGTTGGATTACAAACCCCTGCAGGAGATGACTCCTTGCCTTTGTCATCATTGCCAAGGTCTCCCTGGGGCTCAGGAATTCCGAACCCAAAGCCACTGTCCTTACCTCCTGAGGTTTGGGAAGGTGGCCAGTGCTGACCTCGGTGTCCAGCTGAGCCTGACAAGCATTTCCAGGACAGACACCGTGGCACACGGGTTCCTCCAGCAATCACCACCTCACTTCCAGCTGTCACTCAGCTGCCTCTCCCCTCACTCATGGCTGCCTCTCACCCCTCAGCCAGCTTCCAACCATGCAGCCTGCAGCTGTGCCTTTCCCACAGGGCCTTCCGGTGAGCATAAGCCTTAGCAACTTTCATAATTATGACCTCATATCCTGCAATGACTCTTACTCTGGTCATGTCTAAACTACTGGCTAAGCCCAGTTCTGGCACAAACTTAGTTTTACACCTGGTTTCTAAGTCCCTGGCTCTGGTTTCCCAGCCCTGCTCCTTCCTTCAGCCATGATGTTGGCATCCAGCCCCACAACAGGCAATAAGTCAGACTTGCTCTTCCTCAGTGCTGTGTCCAGTCTGGTTCTAAGCCTCTCCAAGCATCTCACACCTCCTGGCTGCAAAATCTCCTTCCCAGCCATTCATGTTGGTCTCTTCCAGTCTTTCCTGGGTAGAAAACTCCAAAACTACAATTTCAGATTTCAAGGATTTGTAGGCTTTTCCCAGCTACACAAGTGTACTAATGTAGGCATTAGGTAGGCCACATTGCAGGCTTTTTAATGTATAATTTGTGTATATTTAGAACAACATGTACTGTAGCTAAATGTGTCCCTGCTTCATCTCACAGTGAGGTCGGAAGCAAAATGACTACAATATCCATATACTACAATCTCAGATAAGCAGGAAATGGGTGAACAGGAAATGCTGGAAGAGGCAGAGTTCAGTCCAAAACACTCCTTGGTACTGGAGATGTTTGTGCTGCTGGCACAGAGACAGAAATTGCCATTTCCTAATACAAAACACCCCAATTCACAGCTCCTTGGGCGTGAGAACACAGCGTTTCCCCTCCCCCTGGATTTGTGATTGTTATTTGAATGCCTTTCCCAAAAATTCCTATGGATGGAGCTGGATAAAGAGTGACCAGAGGAAAAAAAGCAAAATACTATTGATTATGATGATGAAGGTTTTTATGGAGGAATATTAGTTTTCATCGATTATCTGAAAAAATTGGCTACTTGTTATTTTACAATGTTCTCAGAGAAAATTTTCAGGATTTTCAGTGTCTTCAAATATCTTAGCAAGGAAAAACAGCTTCCAAGCATGTAAGCTGGGGAAGCATCAGAGCATAGTGAGTGTTACCTTCTGCCTCCCATAGCTTGTAGGAAGAAATTAATTTTAACAATGACCTTTGTTTTTAGCTTTGGTAATGTGTAGGGTTGCTGTGGCAACCTTCCCTTTAAGTTGTGTTTTAAGTCTGTATTTTGCAGGAAAGAAGGTGCCTTTTATCACATGTGTGTCTGTGCTTTTCTGCATCCATTTGAATTTACTGAGCTCCTTTGTTGTTTTGACCCAAATTTGACAGAGAAATAGAGGGTCACAGTTAAAAATTTTATGATAACATTCATCCTTGTAAGGAAAAAACAACCAGTAATTACTTGAACTACGGACAAAGTTAAATTGCAAGTGCTCTCCCTGTTAGCCGCTGAGGTGAGAAGCTGCATGAATGTCTGGGACAGGAAAAGCTTCACTTGGAATAATGCAGCACAGGAAAATGGAGCTTACACAGTACTAATGTCCCTGGCTGCTCTGCAGCTATCACAGCCTCTTACGGGGACTGGTAGGGCTGGGCACAAACTCCATTTTCTTTGCATACTCTTTTGCCTCAGTTCCCCTCCTGCATTTCAGGGTTTGTTTTGGGGGACGGACAGACATTGCTCAGGGAGGACAAATAGGAAGAGTGAGTAATTAAAAGTCAGCAGGGCCAGAGAGCGACAATGATGATACTCTCCACCAGTAAAACAAACCCACAGCAATGCCGTTAATAATCAACCCAAGAGAGATTAGTGGAAATGGTGTAGCCAGACAGAGGTACATCATTCTGTGATGTGTCTGCTTGAGGCTGGATTTAATATCTCCACCTTTCTCCAGGGCACTTGGTGGGATGCTGTTTGGCACTCCCGTTAGAGCATGACAGGATCCCACCAGATGCCAAACCCAGTGGGTCCCACCAGTCCCACCACAGAGAGGGTGCACTGGTATCACCAGGAGAAGCTAGAGAGTTCTTATAAAATAGGGAATGCTGGACAGGACAAACGCAGATCAAGCCAATATGGTTAATGCTATGTTCTCCGTTTATTGTTTATAAGATGGCAGTTTATATACACTTCAATATATTTTACAAATTGTGAACACACTATCATTGGCCAGCAAACATTGTTTGTCTTTGTCTTAAGGTGGCTAAAGTTTCACACTGCAGACCTATACTAATTCACACCCAGAAAGCCCATTACTTTGTGGTCACACCTTAACATAATTTCTAACTGCGCCACAGGCTAATTCCTAACTGCGTCATAAATTTCAAAGGCCTCGCTGAGGCCCATATCTGAGGCCTAGGCTGGGGGTAGCTCAACCTTCACTCCAAATATAAATCATGTCCTCTCTCTCTGAGAAATCTTGCTACAACCAGGAGCTCAGCCCTCGTTGTCCTATGGGTTGGGTTGATGCTGCGGGGTGACATTGGGGTCTGGGGCTTCCATCAGATGAGGAGACACTCAGCCAGGCTGTCGGATGCTCCTGGACCTCTCCCTGGGCTTCACCCCTGTGCTGCCACTGGCAGCATTTGGAACTCTGTCTCACCAGGTTTTCATCTAGTCAGTGGCCATAATATTTCTCCCAGGCTCACACTGAGAAAGGCTTAATGAAGAAAAACTGCAGAAAGCAGATGCTGCTCTTTTTGCTCTCTCCAGCATACAGAAAAGAGAAAAATCCCTCCTGATGGGGAAGTGATAAGTAAAGCAGTGAAGACAAAGAGTGCCACGAGGACTGCAAAATCCCTTTTGCCTAGCACAACTCCCTGCTCTAGCTCCCCCTTGAGTGGCTCCAAGCATTCAGAGCACTGTTTAGCATGGAAATGATATGTATCAATACTAAATGCTTCCCTGCCTGCTCCATGGCCCATCTGTGCTTGCAGGGGGACTAGTCTTCAGCTTCCGCACATGAGTGCTCCGGCTTCTCAGCTCCATTGGCAGCACGGGTTTGGTCTTTGCAGATCTACAGCATGGAAGGTCAGTGAATTTTCATACCTGCTCTCAATTCCCCTAATTTGGCTTCTGCCCACACAGAAACATGGTTGGAGCAGGAAGGAGCAGGTGCTACTTTGAGACAGGGAATGTGGCACAGGGGAGGTTGCTCCAATCCCTTTCCACCCTATTGCCTTTGAGTTGTGCTGCTCTGAAGCAATATAAAGCTTCTTCTGAAGAAAAAAAGCATCTGTCCAGGGACTTACACTGAGACAACTATATCACAATAACTGTCTCAGGATAACTGTAGCAATATTCCATCTGCTTCTAGAAAGCATTCTTCTCCAGTCTGTTCCCACTACTTGCAGAGACTTTCAAGATGTCTCTGAGCTAAAGCCACAGCGCCATGTGACACCTGGCAGGGTAAAGCTCCCCACTCCCAGATAATCTGCCAAAATATTTTGACCAAATGGAGGATGGAGCATATTTATCCTGGTCCAGCAGTAGCAGATGTGTGGCCACAGTGCTCTTGAGCTGGTGCCAGGAAGTCTGAAGTATTATCATACCATAAAGCCATTTCTGGGATGCTCTGAAGAGGACTAAAGCAAAGCATATAACTGTGCTGGTAAATTAATCCTGCTTTACACTGGGCAGGACTGTGCACCAGCACAATGTCCCAGTTTGCTGCTGTGCACAGACACAACTCTGAGGGCTGGAAGGGTGAAGCCTCTCTTCCCTTCTACAATGCAAAGGGGCCAGGAGAGATGATGGAAATTTGAACTACAGGCTCATTCCTGTGGCTGAGAGTGATGGGGTTATTTATCTACGGTGTCTCAAGAGCCTAACATCTGAAAGTTCTTAACTCATATCACTGTGCTGAGCTCTTCTTCAAGCATAATTATTT